AAATGAGTTCTCAAGTGAAAACAGAAGAATAAAAAAGCAGAAGGTATTATTTATCTTGGCCTTATCTGCACATGTCAGAAAATTAAGACAGTGATGAATTACATATTACTGTACAAAATTTTATTGTCAGAGGCAAAATTCAAATTTGTTCTGCTTAAAATACAGAAGACAAATTTTCTCATTTAGAAAAATCCATTTTGTTAGTGCTTGGTTGTAATGGAATAAAAATTTAATGTTGAATACATACTGATTCAATTTTTACTGAATAATTTTAAAGGCATACCATAGAAAACATTTATCTGCTAAACTAACAAACACAAAGTTATTTATTTGGTAAATGCTCTAGTAACTTGTATTTACTAAAAGAACAGTTACTGTTACATTTCTAAATCATATAATACTAGAAAGAAAGAAAGAGTTTCCATTTGGCATATTTATATAAGTCTGTCCATTTGGGAAATGGCTTTATGAAAATAAACTTTGTTGCTGAATTAATTCAAGTTCATTAGAAATAGTCCATGTACTACTTTTAAAAGATTATCTGGTGAATTCATTTGTGTCCAGTAGGCCACTTGTGAAAGCTCAAAGGCAGAATGTCTCATCTTGCTCCAAGTTACTGGACAGTGTGTTTCATAAGCTTCATAGAACGAATGTGTTTTATCTTATAGTCTGAATTTGTTTTCAATGACTATCAAAATGTAAAGGGACTAAAATACAGCAAAGGAAAATGGCAAGTATGTTCATAGGTGACAATGTGCACGTAGCATTTAAAAAGGTACTGTGAGATTACTATTAAACCATAGTTCAAAAGCTAGATTACATTTGAAGAGGAATTCATTTGAAAAATATTTTGTTCTTGAGAAGTGACAGATAATAAACCTATTTTAAATAAAACTGAATAAAGAAAAATTAATAATGAATGTTCTCACCGAGGAGGTCTTAGTTTTTGTGAAGGTGGGAACAGAACAGTGTCCAAGAACAAACGTAGTACTATGAACCTAGTAGGGGTTAAAAGGATAGCGACTGAATGATTAACTTAGAGGATAAATGCACTGCACATTCAGGCAGATGTTCTTTACCGTAATATTTGCTCTAAAACATTTCACTCTCTCATTTACTTACATGACATAATAAAAATGTGTGCGATTAGAAGTAAGTTGACCTGTGCAGAGCGAGGTCAAAGCAGTTATCTTAAAGTGTATCCACGCACAGCAGGCCAATGGAAAAGGTAACTTGAAGTAAATTCAGCAGCTGCAGGCCATTTACACAGTACCAAGCAGAAAGAGAGAAACAGTTCTCTGACTTTGTCACTAAGAAAAAGGAAAGTTCTGGCTAGACTCATAGGTCACCTCTATAAGCAGAACAGAGGTTTCACCTTATCTTTTGGTCTACTGGTGAAGACCTTTTCAAATGCATCCTCCCTTTGTGCTTATTTTTCAAGGCTCATTGTTTGCAGTATCTGCTAATTATCTGCTTAGCTTAAAACCCAGGACATCTGGGTGGGTCAGTCAGTTAAGGGTCTGACTCGGTTTCAGCTCAGGTCATGATCTCATGGTTCCTGAGATTGAACCCCCAGGGTTGTGCTCTGCACTGCAGGCATAGAGCCTGCTTGGGATTTTTTCTCTCTCTCTCTGTCTTTCTGCTCCTACCCAACTTGTGTTCACTGTCTCTCTCTCTCTCAAAATAAATAAATAAATTTTAAAAATCCCACTATGCAACACACTAATGTAAAGTATTCTGATGAAAACTTTTATAGGCCATCTGAAGTAACTTTGTTAAGAAATGAGCATCCAACCAGAATGCATTAATTAACATTTTTTTTCTCAATTGAGTCAATGACAATGAAGAAGTAAGTATTCAAATTGTCTATAGAGACCAGTCTATATGGATAGTCATTATGTTTCTGTGCCTGTAGGAGGCAGATGAATGACTGATTTGAGCCATGTAAGGCTTGGTTTGCAGGGTTTTGAATCCCAGCTAATACCCATCACCAGTTATGTAAACTGATCCCAACCCTTAGCCTGTCTCCCCATTGATAAGTTGGAACTGATGGTATTTCAGTTATTAGATGAGATGGTGTCTATAAAGTTCCTGGCATTTTGTAGACATTCAAATTTTTATTCTTTTTCTATATTTGACCTTATTTAACATTAATAACATTAATATAGCACACAAATAATACAGATAAAAATAAAGGATTGGATTTTTCTTCTTTCTTAGTGCATTAGTACATTAACTGGGAATGCGCAAAAGATAGGCATCTTCAATGTCCAATTCTTAAAGTACTAAATATTCAAAATAAAATCCTTTAATGTACTATGTTTACAAAATCTGAATAAAATCATACTGTACTAAAAGGGCCATTTGTGGAAAACTTATTTTAAAAATAAAATGTAGGTGTGCCTGAGTGGCTCAGTCAGTTGAACATCTGACTCTTGATTTAGGCTTAGGTTGTGGGATCATGCCCTGTCTTGGGCTCTGTCCTGAGTGTGGACCCTGCTTAAGATTCTCTCTCTCCCTATGCTCCTCTCCCATCCCCTTCTAAAATAAAATAAAAATTAAATTAATTTAAAAAATAAAATAAAAATAAATAAAACAAAATGCATATACTTACACATATGCAGTATACTTACTATTAGGACATATTTTCACCAACTGCTTATTAATACTTAAGACTTTTTAAAAATTTTCTAAACTTTGAAATAAAATTTCATAAAATAAAATTGAAAATAAAAGCCTCTAAAGTCCCCTTTTGTTAGAATTCCCTAAATAGAAACTACAATAAACAAAATATTTTAATAAAAATTCCTTATCACTTCAAAGCAAGAGAACTAAAGGTGACTCTTATTAAACTAAAATTTAAAATTCTAGAATATGTTAAAAGAACATTTTTGTATTCAAAAGTTCACATACACTAATTAGAACAAATATATTATTGCCTCTGATAAGAATTGTTGAACCTGCTTTAAAGAATATGTGATTAACTTAACATTAACACATTGTGAATATACAAATAGTATGCTAAAACCATTTTAGAAAACTTGAACTACTTTCACCGAAGTAGGTTAAATATTCTTCCTGCAACTTACTGATATTATTAAATTGCTCAAATAGCTTTTCTTAAAGATAATTTTATCCCAATTTATATTCCAATTGTAAAGTTTAAACCATGTGGTTTTATTATACTTTCTAAACATTACACATACTCTGTAAAACACTATTAAGTGCTGTGAAACCAAAGATTGAGAAGTACCCTAAAAGTTTTGAAAACTAGTACACAAAAATACTTGCATATTAACTATACCTAAAAATAATTTAGTTTCTCTCTGGTAGCATGTAATTATTTTTCATGTTGCCCTTATTCTGATTGGTTCCTCGTTTATGTTTGTTTCATTTATTGTAATGTGAATTCCTTCAGGCTTTATTCTGCTCCTCCTTCCTTTCCCTTCACAATGTGCTTAGTCAAATAAAATGTTTAATAAATATTTGTTTAGTTAAATTGAATTTTGTCCTATGTAATTATCAGTGTCAAATGATACTAATCCAGCCATGATCTCTGGTAAAAAAAACAAAACAAACAAACAAACAAACACAGGTGAGGGAATCTTAACTTCTCATTCTATAAACTATTACTACTCCTTTAAGATGTATATGTGGTTACCTCGTGGTCATCCTGAGAATAATGCAGCTATTTTAGGTCTTTAAATTCTTACCAAAAAAAAATTCCTTAATATTCTAATAGCCAGTAGATTTTAATTAAATATATCATTGTAAACTTCTTTAGGAATTCCTTTCCTGCATCTAATCCAGGACTGCAGCTGCACAAACACTGTTTTTCACAATTTACTCTGCATAGATTTATAAACATTTTCCCAAATATTATTTTCCCTGCTTTAGATGGAAGCCATTTTATCTGGGGTCTGACCATCTGTTACTACAGACAGAGCTTTTCAGAGAAATGTGTGTAAAAATAAAGCAAATTATCACCATTTTCAAGTCATATTTAAACAGTGTTCACCGCAAGATCAAAAAAGGGAACTATAATCAATGAACTATGCTTTGTCACAATATTGGGCTGCTTGTACCAACGGAAGTGAATTACTGATGAACATTTCATCCAGTTGTTTGACATCATGCAGATTAGAAACACAGGCTTTAAAAAATAATGTAATTATTGTAGACATATTTCATCCCATATTTTGATGCTGCTTCTGGTATTTGGAAAATCTCCAACTAATGCAATGGATAGACGTATTTCAAAAACGTCTTTCTAGTTTAGTTGTAGGAAGGTTTTACTCAAAGTCTAAGGTTACTGTGTCTGTTCCCCAAGTAACAACTGTATCATTTTAAGTGGTTCATGTTTCTACTCTGATCCTCAGTTTTCTCATCAGACTATCAGGGCTAATATGTTATTATGTTTTTGAAAGTAGCCAAATAAAACAGCATGTGTAAAGCTCTTTGAAAATAAAATACAATTTAAAAATGTTATGATCTGAATAAGCTCATAAGATATTAGTTATATTTGTAAACAGTACTGCCACAAAAGCCCAGTCCTATGATATAAATTATCTTAGAGATAATATAAACCAAAGTCAGTTTAAACTCCAGTTAAAATCTGGGTTATTGAAATTTAGGAATAAACCTGGAATTGTAGATATTAACCTTAGACGTTGTGCTTGTCTATTTTTTTTTAATCTTAAAGATTTTAAGAAAATCTTAAGGAAAAATGTGTCCAAATGGGGAACACTTTTTATTTACAAGTTACTTAGTGATATTTAATCTTCAGTATGGCAAATAATTTAGTCCTGTCTAATGGAAACCAAGTTTTGCTGTGGTACATATATTGGCACAGTAAAGTGGTAAGCCTAGGTATTGAACACTTTCAACAATTTGTTATTTCATGCATATATAGGATTTGTAAAACATACAAAGAAGAGAAAAAAGATAAAAACTCTATGTAGAAAATAGAATTTTATAACTACATTTTACAGAATATTCCAAGAGATATCATTGGTCATTTTATTATTTTGAAAATATTACTTATTTAAACAACTAAAAAACATTAAAGCCTGATATAATCTTCAACATTAGAAAGGACAAATTATTGAAAAATATGTAGAACAGAAATCCCATCTCAATGCCATTGACACTACTATACCATTGAACAAATATTCTATGAGGTATTGAACATTGCACATAATTACACATTTAGGACTTGACATTGTAGCTAAACCAGTTGTTCAAGGCCACTAAAATACTGAAAGAGGATTAAGATTATTAACAGTGGGGAGGAAAAAGTAACTATAAAAGTCTTTCTAACTCAAATATGGAAATGTGATTTCACTCAAAAGAATGTTACAACTACTAAGAATTTTCAGTAATTCATGACACAAAATAAGACATCCACCTCTAATTGTTTATCTATTTATCTTATTACATGAATCCAGTGCTGATACAGTACATGTTTTGGACCTTTACGGCAGTGTGATATTTATTATTGTTATGTCTTAGAATTTGTCCCTTATAGATTTTACATAGGTGCAAGTACTAGTTAAATTATATGACTTCTGATCAGTGGGATGGCTTTTAGATTTAATACTATTACTATGTCTCACTAAATCCACACAGTGTATTTAAAATTCATTTATTTTAATTGAATGAAGTGCTGAAAAATTTAAGTATGAGAAATAGATATTAATTGCTAAAAGGGTGAAATTCAATTTTAGGTGATACTTGTTCAATGGATTAGGAAATTGTTACTTTTTACCACAAACTCAAAATAAATCTATGGCTCTGGTTTCTAAAACACCTATTGTTTTTTCAGTGTTCAGTGACGATTAGAATATATCTCTCTCAATTATTTGCAAGGAGATTTGGAGGAGTGGAAAACCTTAGGAAAATAGAAAGTGGTCCACAAACTTTTGGCTTAGGTCCCGTAGTTGTGCTGGTATTTTATAATGGCAAACTTAAAATATGTTCATTTTGGAGCATCTAAGCAATGTTTGGAGAGCTGGCCTACTGGGTGAGAATGCCATTCAAAATAAGCACTTGTATTACAAAACACACAGCCATGAAAAGGGCTATTTAAAATTCCATGGAGAAGAGAGCTGTCAATGCCAAAGGAAAAGCTTTGCTCAAGAAAAGTAACTTTCATCTGAATGGATGGCATGATTGGCATCAAAGGTTATTAAATGGTATCAGACTTACTCGATGTACAGTCACTTAATGGAGGATTAGATGGACACAGACACAAAGACCAACACAGAGAGAATTTTCAACCCTCTGGACCACCCGCCATGAGATGGAAAAACAAACAAGATGAAAAAGAAACACCTTCTCAGCACTGATAATTCTTAAATGTGCACAATTGTTTGATGCAAGCATAAGTTTGACCATAATGATGACAGAATCTATATTTAGGATACAAGGCTGCCATTTTAGAGAATTAGAAGAGTGTTTATACATAAATTATGTTCGAATTCATTTTCATGTAGTAGAATAGACCATTGTTCAGGAAGCAGATGAAAAAAATCTATAAGGGTTGAGAAATTTAGTCAGGAAATTGTCAGGAAGGATAGTGTTGAGATAAATTCTTTTAAGCCTTTTCAAAGTTTGTGTAAGTTCATAAAAAGAGATAAAGTTTCTTTGATCTGAAGAGATCCTTTGCACAAGTGCAGTGTACAACATACTATATACATATAGGGCATCCCTATGTACATATACATATGCATACACTATCTATATGCCTTTTTAAACATATACACAGCTTTAACTCAAAGAAAATGAGTTAGCAACACAGGAATCATTGCAAGACAATCCAAGTGCTGAAATAAGTGACACTGACCACTTCAAGGGCTATTTTACCTCTCACATCGCCCAGAAGTAAGAATATAATTCCTTTTTAGTTTGTTTTTCATTGCAACACTGATTGTCATAGATAGTCTTTGTGCTTTTGTATAATGCCCATCCTGGATGTAACATATATTCACGTACAACATTGGACATTTTAAATAAGCATGCTGAACACAGGCAGGACCATACAACCATGCACAAAATATTCTGAATATGTTTTTCCAAACTGACTGCAACATCGACATGCACCACTATCATATTTGGTCCTGTACAGCAAGGAATGTACAGCTGATGCAATCATGGCTAGTTTCACTTGCAAGAGTTTCCTTAGAGAAGAACACCCAGTAGAGAAACAAAACAGAATGAGTGAAATGAACAGGAAAGTCCCCCAAAACCAAAAATTAAAAAAAAAAGTCCTCCCACACGTTAACACTGAAAATCTGGCCATTTTCCACATAGCACATTTTCCTCATCCCATATAAAGCAGGTTTCTCCCAATGTTCTTAGTTGAATTGTTTATAAGAGATATTAGTGTCTCAGAGCTTTTCCTAGCCATTGGAAAAGCTCATCTTGATAGAGCATTTTCCAGCGCACGTTGGCTTCAACGGTCTCCACAGCTCTCAAGAAAGAGGCAGCGGCTACTCCATCGTAATTCTTCATGAAGTTCTTCAGCTGGAAAGAAACATTTTAGAATGGTGAGAATGCATGTCTCAAAGAAACTTATGGCCAACATATATAAACAAGAATGCATGTGGAACAAAGTGCCACCATCCCTACAGAAGGCGTATTTAGTATGTGAAGCAAGCTTACTAATGAAATGCAATACAACAAATTGAGTCTGTTAGGTGTGAAGTAAAGTTTCTTCTGGAACTGGAAGGAAAAAAGAGTGGACATTACAGTTAAAAAGCTTCAAATTCAGCTTCTTCTTTCATAGATAAATATTAAAAGAGATGCATTTATCTTTTCATATATGTTGATGGGATTGTGGCAAAGACTAGTTGTAATTATGAATCATATCCAAGGAAAAAAGTAGCCTTAAAAACTGAATATGAAGGTTAAAGTTTACTCTTTGTTGGTAGAGATAAAACTGTTCTTTATCTCCCCCAAATAAACAGCATAAAGACTTGACATTATCTTTGGTGGCAAGAGATTACCAGTTATCAGGCGGTGGAAAAAAGTAATGATGCTAGATTAAAGCTGGATGGGTAATGACACTGCAATTGTCTGAGTAACTTGACCTGGAAAGAATAAAGGAAGAATGTGGACACATTGAGCCAGATAAGTCGGGCATTTAATTAGAATAAGTTATAATTTTAAAATGCTTTGTTATTATTTTATGGAAAGATTTTTCTCTAGAGAGTTCACATATTCTGGGGATGTTTGGGGATTTTACTTCAAGATTAAATACTAGCAGTTTTTCTTTCTGTTTCAGATGTCCTAAAAAACTGGCAACCAACGAACAATCAGAAAGCTAATAGGCGAATGTGAAAAATCAACTTGCAACACAGAAACATTATGTGGTGTAATTAGTGTGGGGTGTGATTCATCACATGGTGGGTGCCACATGGAGGAAATGCCAGGAGGGAAACACAGTGCATCAAGACTGACTCAGGGACAGGGAGATATGGTATGGGGAGGATGCAATTAAAATGGACTTTTTAATATCTTTCTGAGTTCATCTAGAAATTGGTTCACTGGTAGTTTGGTTTATGACAGCATTACTTTGATTACATGATACCGATGGGTTTTCTCAAAGTTTATCCTCTACTTTCCAACAAAGCCCTGTGGCCCTGCAGCATTGGCAGTAGATAACCATATCTCAGGGCTATAGCCTTTATAAGACTTCACAATCACTAAGCTTTTATAACAAACATGTAAAATATCCAACATGTAACAAAGATTTATTGATGCTACCCTTAAAAACTGATTTGACATTTTACCAAATTTACACATACTAAGCAGAAGAAGGAAAGACTTTGGAATTTATTGAATATCATCAATATACATATTCCTGTAACATGCATACACATATCTTAAAAGGAAGTTGAATAGAAACATTTAAATTATATTTTTAAACTTTAACTGATTAATCCAATAATTCATTTGTATTTATATGTTTGACTCATTTAGTCAATATTCCTAAGGCAACAAATAATAACATTATGATCTGTTTTGAATTATATTTTATTATAAAAATAGATATTACCATGTATATATTACCATGTATTACCAAAAAAATATACTACCATGTATATTGCATATGTATATTATAGTGGTGTTATTTACATAGTATACGTCAATCAGGAAAAAATTCTACTCCTCTTGAAATATATTCTGCATTATTACATACTTGCCTAGGCAGTACTAAATATGCCATATAATGGTAAATGACCCTTTGACAACTTTTGATTCTGTAGAACATGCTCTTGGCCCCTTGAGAAAATAGACAGCAAGTCAGCCTGCACACTGAAGTAAAACTCTTAAGTCCTTCTCAAAGATAAACTATGAGTTTGAATATGAATGAGTTATTGACACAAAGGGTAGGTCAGATTACCCTGCAAAAGAACAATCAATAAAAAAAAGTAAGTGGTGGGTCCCCAGGGATTCATTTCCTAAATCACTATTTAAGTGCACTAGATACTTCCTTCATGAGCTCGGAGAGCCTGAGGTGACTCAGGAATCTTAGGAGTAGCTTTTTCATCAGAACACATATGGCCCACTCTCCATACCTGGCATAAATTGATCTCAGACCCTTATTCTTCCACAGCTCTCTGACAAACAGATGCCAGAACAGCCATCTAACTGGTCCTGGGGTGTGATCATAGCACCTTCCAGACCCCTACCTGACTTTATAGGGTATGGGGTAGATGGAAGGCACTTGGCATTCCAGTTTGCTTCTTTCTGAAGCTCTTTGGTATATTTTCTGCAGCTATTAGCTTTTATTATTGTGTTTCCTAAATATTTATGCCATCTTGTGCTTTTATTTGAAAATGTTTCAAAGTTTAGACATTTTTATAAAATAGCATTTAGTAAGATGTCAGAGTTGTTTGTGCTTCTTGTTTTTAGCATAAATTTTTTAGACATGTTTGTTAATTTCACTATTAGAAAACATTTTAACATTAAAAAAATCCCTCCTATTTTAGGGTACCCTAGACCCTACACACCATGGAATAAATTATTTGTAAATTGCAAAACATAATATACTCTCAGTAACTGTATAAGTGAATTCAATTAGCTATTGCGCTATTATGAGGTTCATATTTTCAACATTAAAACTGTAAGTGGGGTGTCTGGGATGCACAGGATCTATGTTCTTCCCCAGCCATGTTGTAGATTAGGTTCAAAAAGGCAGAAAAACGAGTGCTGTAGAGAATTGCTTAACAGACATTAGTATGAAAAACTGTCAAGGGCCTCCGCAGCTCCCTCAGGTTGTACTTCCATTAGTTTAAAATTAAGGAAATAACACACAGTTTCATGGAGAAATATTGTTCAAATTGCTGGAGCCATGTAATTAGAAGGAAATTGCCAGTGTCAGGTTTGAGAAAGCAGTTTTTGGGGAGGGAGCTTGGAAGAATACACATTTCTTTACTGAATGCCCCTAAGGCTGATGGGGATCATTAAAATCTCAACTGAGCTTTCAGAATTCATAAAGATGCTGATTCTCTTTTGATCTAGATATTCTTGAAAATAAGAATATGCCCTATCCAAAGGGAGCATATTGGGTTTTCTGCTTCTGAGGCTCATTGGTTATGAGAGGATGAGTCTGGAAATTCCTAACCCCTTTTATATTAATGAAAGGGGGTTATTAACAATAGGAAGTAAACCCCCATACCACTCAACAATGGTGGTCCCCAATCCTAAATACAATGATTAGATAATGAAACTCTGGAAAAGCCTCAGGCAGCAGTTGTCAAACTAGAAAGTCAACACAAGTAGCTAGATCGTGGAGGGATTCCTTGCTTATGCCACAGACTGTGTTGGGAAGTTAGCTGCTTGGTGGATAATGGAATAAAAGCCACAATTTAGTTTCAGTCTTGAAACTGCACCTTTCATTATAGCTATAAACATTTCAAATGGCAATTAAATCAAGTGGGAAACTATGAAATACATGTACGAAACAAGTAAAACAAAGTCATCAGCATATGATAAAATCAAATTGATATCCATTTATTTTTTTATTAAAAATTTTTAATGTTTATTTTTGAGAGACAGAGACAGAGCATAAGCAGGGGAGGGGCAGAGAGAGAGAGGGAGACAGAATCTGAAACAGGCTCCAGACTCTGAACTGTCAGCATAGAATCCAACATGGGGCTCAAAAATCACAAAGCATGAGATCGTGACCTGAGCCGAAGTCAGATGCCCACCTAGGATGGGCCTCCCGGGTGCCCCAACACAATATCCATTTAAAAGATGTTTTCTTAGGGCGCCTGGGTGGTTCAGTCAGTTAAGCAACTGACCATTGATTTCAGCTCAGGTCATGATCTTATGGTTTGTGGGTTCAAACTTTGTTTCAGGCTTTGTGCTGACAGCGCAGAGCCTTCTTGGGATTCTTTCTCTCTCTCAAAATTAATAAAAATTAAAAAAAAAAAGATGTTTTCTCATGGCCTAGGATTACTGAAGCAAGGAAAGTATGAAAGATAGAGTTTGAGGATGAAGTGGGAAAGGGAACAGGAGAAAGGCAGCAAGAAGGGGGCAAAAGCAGAGAAGACGGGAGAAGAAAGGGAGCAAAAACGGAGGAGGAAGAGGGGAAGGAAAGGGTGGAAGAGGACTTTTCACTTCTGTGTTCACTTCAGCCGCTTCACAGGTTGTGAATAAATGAGTCTTTCACTCACCGATTACTGAATGTAAAATTAAGGAATTAAAAGTACTTCATTTAAATACAGAGAAAATTGGAAGCAATCATTCATTTAATTGTTCTTTCTTTCTGTTTCATATGGATATGAAAGAAGTCCTTCTCCATAAGCTTCCTTTATTTAAAAAATACAGTAAAACATGTGCTAGGGCTTTCAAAACCAAATCCTGAAGGGTTGGGAACACGTAGCAGGGATAAAAACTGAATTTCAAATCATTACAATAAGAGACTTAGCTTAGCTCATAGTGTTGCAGGAATCCAAGTTAGTGATTAGGGGCCGATCATACAACGTTGGGCAATATTAGAAGATGTTAAGGAAGGTGCCAGGGTTGGTGCTTCTGCGGAAATGCGGCTCAATATGATTAGCTCTGGGTCACAGCCTCAGGCATTCTGTCAGCGAGAACTAAGGAAGCTATGATTGCCAATGCCAAATCTCAGCTATATTTTACAATGGAGTTGAGCAGTGGATGAAAAAGCAATAAGTGGTTGAGGCCCAGCTCATCTGAATCATTTAAAAATATCTATATTTTCGGGGCGCCTGGGTGGCTTAGTCGGTTAAGCGTCCGACTTTCGCTTAGGTCATGATCTCGCGGTTCGTGGGTTCTATCCCCGCGTCGGGCTCTGTGCTGACTGCCAGCTCAGAGCCTGGAGCCTATTTCGGAGTCTGTGTCTCCCTCTCTCTCTGACCCTTCCCTGCTCACACTGTCTCTCTCTCTCTCTCTCCTAGAAATAAATTAAAAAAATATATTTAAAAAAAACCTATATTTTCTCCTCCCTCCTACATACTTACTCCTCCCCATTTCCCACCCATCTCTGATACAAACGTGAGTTACTGGTCAAAAAAAAAAAAAAAAAAAAAAAAAGCTGGTTTAAGTTTCCAGAGAAATAAACCAGAGATAAAAGGAAGGAAACATTAGATACACTCTAAACTGAACACTAGTCCTTTAAAAATGGTTTATTTTCTTTAATGAAGTTTATTTGTGATCATATCAAGCAGAATTTTAAACCAACTATTAATCTCAATATATACTGTCAGATACATTCTCTGTCATACGTATGAATTCATTCCACTGAACGGACAAGATAGCATGAAGCATTATCATCAAATCCAGTTCCTCACTCCCTGTATAGGCCTGACCACAAAGCAGTGAGACCCAAGTTCTGTACCTTAACACCAGTCTTGATCCTTTGCATCCAAATACTGGTCATTGTGACAGGATAGTTTTATTTCTAGGATTCTAAACTGGGTTGTTGCTCAACTGTTTGTATCAAAGATTTCTGAAGTGGATTTGGAGTCCTTCAGTTTGGGAAACATTACATTTAAACATTTCTTGAAGGCATTTAATGTTTAATATAATAGAAATACCTTTGCAAATAATGAATTGAGTAAAGTCTTCAGCATGAATGAATGTGTGTGTGTTTGTTTTAAAGAAATGGATACGAATCTGTTGAAAAAAATAGTTACAGTAAATGTATGACTTCATATGTTTTTATAAAAGAAAAACATTAGAACTCATATTAAAATATTTACCTCTTTGAGTTCACCTTCAGTATTAAGAAATTCTGTAACTCCACTAATGAGTTTAGAATTCATAAATAATGCCTCTCCATACCTGGAAAGATTAAAAAAAAAATCTCTATGTTAATATAGGCAGCAATTTAAGAAATACTGCTCTACAGAATTTTTTAGAAACCTTTTCAAGGGCTACATTTGACTAACGTTATCTTATTGCCATTAAGATCTCTGAACATTTCAAGGTCATTTGTCTAGGTAGCCAGGGAGGTGAAAAGAGCTAGGGCTCTGGGGTATCATGAGATGCCACCTGATTTGTTTCAGAGAGGTCTAAGTTGCAGTAAAAAAAAAAAAAAAAAAAAAAGGAATTTTTTAAGATTTAGGAACCATTATTATATTTTCAATCTAAGGCCTGAGGAAGAAATATTTTAAAACTTTCAACTTAAAACAACTTAGTTCACTAAAAGGAAAAGAAAAATCCCAACAAAGGAAATGGGACTATAAGATAAATGTGGGCATTATCAGTATGTCACACAGATCCTTTGGTCTGGTCAGTTATAACTGACATTGACATTCTCCTTTTTCGTGCTGAGAAACTGAGCCAAATTTCTTTGAAATGCTCCCAAATTATTAGTATTTTTTCATGTAGGCATTAAATTAAAATATTCAGTTGTTCATTTGGATTGCATAATCCTTGTACCACAGATATAAATTCTTGACTCTCAATCTATGGTAAGGAACAATTTGTGTCAGTGAGTTGGAAAGTTTTCTCATTTTATTTATTTATCTCTATTGTGCTATGGATATCTATCACAGCTTATCACACTCTTGGAATTAAGAAAAGCAAACTAAAAATAAGATTCTGGGTTTTTGGAAGCAAAGGTGTAGCCCTCATTATAAGAGGTTTTCAAATGCTACCATTACAGCATTGAGGGACCTGTCTTTTAGAACTTGTTAAATTGACAATATCTTAAGCCTAATGGCTATATATGGTAAGGGAAAGTGGGGGAGTATATGTAGTTTTCCAAGTGTCTGGCTTGATTAATTGGTGGATTATTTACTGAGGACAGGAAGACAAGAGGGAAATAATGGGTTTAGCTTTGCAGTTATACCTCAGAAGGAGATCAAAACAGACAACCCTCTATCATAGGGCGTAGTTTAGGTGAAATGTCTCAGTAAGAGATATAGATTTGGGAGTGACTGAAACCATTAGAGTAGATGGGAAGGAAAACCAGGGAGAAACCTTGGAGCAGGAAACAAGAAGCATCTTGGGCAGCGCCTCCATGAATTCCAGTGTTCTAGAATTGACAGAGGAGTAGGAGCAGATGAAGGCAATCCTATTTATCAAGATAAACACTTCCTATAGGTAGATACACTGAAATCTCAAACTTTCTATCAGTTAGAGATCAGGGACTCTCAGTGAGACAAAATAAGCATTTCAAGAGCCAAACATTTTTTGGGAGGGTCTAAACTATACATCCACTATACTGAACTGTGATATACAAAACTACTCCCTAAAGAAACTGTATTGGCAGATACTTAGTACTCCTTAAAGCAAAATGCTTGTATATATTATTTCACCTTCTGTCTGACTATTCACTATATTATGTGCATGACAGCAAAGCAAGTTCTAATCTTCCAATCATTCCAATTTCCGAGCTACAAATACAAAAACGTCAGTGTGTCTTGTAGGAATACCAGTGCTTTCTGACAATGAAATATCCATAGATAAAAAGTGTTTTAATAGGACACATTCATTCAAATTGAACTCTTTATACAAGGGCAACTGATAAAGGTGTACCTTAAAAACATAAAGTTTATACACCAGTTTTTAAGAGACAGTAAACAATAGGTCTGCTTACTGTTTGGAGACATTTAAGTTTGAAAACATGTGGCATCTACATGCTCTTTAATATATTTAATTTTAAAATGCCATAGAGATTGCCAGAGTAATAAATCAACATTTATTACAATATATTTAAATACATAATGAAATATTTTCTTAAATTGAAGCTGAAGAATTCTCACCATAAAACAAGATGTCTCAGGAATGAATTCTACTGCAGCTAGAATTATACAATGATTCAAATCATGGTTTTATTTCAGGTGTTTTATTATATTTATATTTAAAGGTAACTTCAAACAGGGGCACCTGTGTGGCTCAGTCAGTTAAGCATCCGAGTCTTGAATTCAGCTCAAGTCATGATCTCTCAGTTGGTGAGATCGAGTCCCACATCAAGCTATGAGCTGACAGTGTGGAGCCTGCTTGGGATTCTCTCTCTCCCTCTCTCTCTGCCCCTTCCCCACTTGTGCACATGCTCACTTGCTCTCTCTCAAAATAAATAAATATTTTAAAATAACTTAAAAAAAAGAAACTTAATTCTACAGCAGTAAAGCTTTCTTGTTACATAAATAATTATACCTGATTTATAAATCATTTTTTTCTGCAACACATTCAGAATATAGAACTTTTATGATATTTCTTCAACCTTAGACAGTTTAATAGATTTTCTGCAAAAATTGACTGCTAAGGCTTTTTAGTCCCACATTTCCATATATAATCACAGCTTTTAATCTTCAAAACATGAATAATGCTATAGGCCTGTTAAAATAATTCTGAGTTTCACTGGAGTGGCAACATCCATATTAGTTGACTATTTTAAAATCTAGTTCTATTATCTAGGCGTTGGTTTTAACACAAAAAGCTTTGCCTTTATCTCTCATATCACCTTTAATTTACTCACTCAAGTATGAATGATTGAACTCTTATTTCTACCTGGTATTTAATATCTTCCATTTATCTCTAAAAAACTTCCAGGCAAGGTCTCGGCCATGTGGATTTCGAGCGACATGGATTATCACATCAATTGCATCTTGATCCAACACCACCTCAGAATTTAGTGATAGATTCAGAAGCCTGTAAAGATAGAATTGTGGAAAAACTTTTAGCCCAATAACTTAAGCATTTTTATAAAATTTCAAAAATTATATGCATTAATATGCATATTTTTCAAAAGAACAGTCCGGTGTAAACTTTACCAACACAATTAATCAATACAACAACTTTCTGTTTATAGAAGAGAGGAGCAACTTCCTAGTATTTTAATTAACTTGTCAATTAAATTCTGAAAAAATCTTGCAGGTGGAAAATCACAATTCTCTTTTAATGATCTAATCTTGCTTTTAAAAATCTTAAAACACTTCCTTTTATAATGAAATACTGTCTTACTGTTTAGTTAGAAACGAAGGTATACCTTTCAATTCAACTAGCTTTAGTCATGTCAACATGGCAGTTTTCCTTAGCTGTAAAAAGTATATTCTAGAGTAACTACAATATATTCAAGGAAACAAAATCAGGGCCACAATAGGTTTAGATACAATTTAAATAAGTTTAGAAAATCAATTGACCCACCTATTTAATAAGTTCCTATCATCACTGCAAGTTAAGGCTTCCAATAATATTTTCTTCTCAGAAACTGCTGTGGTAGAGTGGAATTTCATCCAGATGAATTCCCAGACGTCCTCATCTAGTAGTGAGACTCCTGTACAGTAGACGATGTCTCTAACGTTGAGTGGGATTCTAAAGAAGCAGCCCAGGGTGGTTTCTGTTAATTGAAAGCTTCATAGCATTGAAACTAAAGACAGATGTTGCTTTACTACAGTCAGTTTTTAAAAAGATGATTTTGTTAATGAGTTTTAACCTGAAAGAGAATAATACTATATATAACAGTATTCAAAAATATTGGCAACTGAATGAATAAAATAATGTGCTTTATGTAATGGTAGTTTTGAATGGAAATTTTGTTAATTGCATGTAATATGCAACTATTTAAAATTATTGGCAACTGAATGAACAAAATAATGTACTTTATGTAATGGTAGTTTTGAATATAATTTTTGTTTCTACTCTTGATACTATATTTAAACAAAAATCAGAACACAAAAGCTTAAAAAAATCAGGGCAAACAGGATGCTTTATATTTTTATACTGCTTATCAACCAATGATCAACCAATATATACTTATTAATATAATATACTTATCAACCAATGATCTTGCCCTCATAGTTGGTAGACCCAAGAATGACAAGAAAGCCCAGGTTGAAGGGACTAATTTGGATGAGACAAACACTTTACCCTAAATTCTTAGACAAGTCTCTCTGAAATTATTTTTCTCAAAGAGCTCTTCAAATTTGGGAACCTAGAAGATTATTGATACAGGTAGTAAACAGATAAAACATAAGTAGTACATTTTGAGAAGGTAGAAATTTCTTTTTCCTTACATTTATAAAAGTGACTATAAAAGGAGACTAAATTTTGACTTTGACTTCAAAATAAATATTGCAGTGGGAATCTGTGGGTGGATTTAATTAGTCTTGACTATTTATAAATTGTAAATGTTCATATTTACTGTACCACAGCAATTTTTTTTTACCAAATATTGTTCTTTCAAGACTCAGAGTATACCTCACATTTTAAAAACTGAAATCTCTGAGAGAACACTCCAATATTTACAAAAGGTTAAAAACGCATTTCTGCTTTGTGTCATATTCAGTGATCTATTATTTAAATTACACATTTGTAATTTGAATGTGGCTAATAAGTGTTTTCTCTGGATAGCAAGATAAAACAATCTCTTCTAAAGATTTAGGACCTTGATGGTTAAAACACCACTATGGTTAAAAGGAGTATTTGGAAAACAGGAGGAAGTGTCTGAATGACTACCAGTAAAATAAGCTTAATCTTATTCTGTTAAGCAGCTAAGTAGGGCTCCAATCAGAAGACTGAGGCTTGTGTATTAGAATACCAGATGTTTAGATTTGCTAAAGTATCATACAAAATTAATTGCTCCCAGAAATAGCTAAAACTGTATTTTTCTGTCTCTTCCAACAAGTAATGTGGAGTGTTTCGAGAAAAGTTATTTTAACCTTGCTGACTGGAGCTCTTTTTCTTTGTGGTATCAGAAGGCAAGCACTCTGTGTGGTTGTTTTGTTTTTAAAGAACCTAAAGGAACACAAACATCAGAAGAAACCAGCAAACAGCTTCAGAAAACACTACCACCACATTTAATCATGGTAGATACGTTATATCCATCTTCAATCACTATGATAAGAACATTAAGAAACCTAGCCTTTCTCTAAATCAACATCTAGAGAAGAGAATGAGTCTTTTTTCTTCCAAATGTTATAGGCTACAGAGGAAAACACTGTAATATGGTTGACTAGGCCAAGAGATCACTATACACATTTGTAAGGAAAAAAAAAACAGTAAAATGTCTACTGAAATCATCAGTTCATCGGTCAACGTATATTTTCTTTTTCTTTTTCAGTGTATATTTTCTTAACGTTAGACCTAATATAAAGTCATTAAGCTATTAATATATGAAAGAGATTACAGGGATAGAGCCCATTGAGTTAGGTTTTTATGCCTACGAAATCAATCTCCAATATCGATGGTTTCAAGTAGAAAAAGCATATAGAGATATATAAAATACAAAAAACTCCTCCAGATATTAAACTATGTTCCTTAGAAGTAACTTGACTCCCATATATCATAGTTACTAGGAATAGTCCATATTTTTGTTATTCAGTGGATCCTGCTGGCTGATACTGAACTATGTAAGGTGCATATACAAATGAACAAATGGATTGACCACTCCAAAGCCCTGGACACTGACTAAAGGAGCATGGGAAGAAAATGACACTTTTGTGCAATACTATGTCCCAGGTAACAAATATTATTTTATGTAATCTATATAATAATACCATGATGTCTCTATCATATTTATTTTTATTTCTTTTAAGTAGGCTTTATGCCCAGCATGGAGTCCAACATGGGGCTTAAACTCACGACCCTGAGATATCCATGACCCTGAGATCAAGAACTCAGCTGAGACCAAGAGTCAGATGCTTAACTGACTGTGTCACCCAGATGCCCATGCTGTCTGCATCATAAACTTCTTTTTGTAGGAGAGGGAACATTGTTCTGAGAGAGGATATTTTGCACTATCCTCACAACACAGTAAACTGAGAACCAGGATAATCTGTACAGGAAAGTTTTTCCCATTTTTATCAGCTTAGAGACGGCCAATGACAATGAAAGTATGATACAATGATTCTTAGTAGTAGTAGTAATCAAAAATTTGCCACTGAATTCTGATTTTTCATTGTTCAATAAAACACTATGATAGAAAGCAAAACCAACAAAAAAATTAAATTAAAAAATAATATATCCTTTAAGAGGGTACTATCACCTGGGCCTAACCAATGGACAGCAGAGCAATACATGCACCCAGTCAAAATTCTCCTGGTGCCGGCCATAGTGCCACCTGTAACCTCTTTCTTAATTAAAATTTTAAGACACAGTTTGATCAGTTATCTTTGAGAAATACGTTGGTTCAAGTGGATTTCCAACCATCAGTATCCATTCTCTTCACCAGCACTGAAGTGATACTTCTTAAAATGCGGCTGTGGGTGAATATAAAGGCATTGGCTACTGGGGTACTTAAGCAGCTGCTCTATGGCAATGTGGTCATACAAAGCGCAAGGAGAAAACAAATCTTAAAAGGGCACTCAGCAATAAAGTGTTGGATAAAATGACAGACAGATCATCCTGAAGTAATCTAACAAAAGCAGTCCGAGGCAAAGGAGGCCTTTAAAAGCAAAGCTGCTCATACTAGGGGCAGATTCTGCATCTGAAGCTGCAGCCCCAAACCAAGAGAGACCCCATAAATTTGGATTTGCTCTGCCCGAAGCTACAGGTCAACTTCCTGGTTTGCCAGCAGCCGTCCCTCTGTGCACAGCAGATGCATCAAATTTGATTATTGTGAAAATGAGACACACATATGTTTACATATATAATCTGAACCCTGTTGATGGTCCATTGAAAAACAGTCCTCAGTCTCAGCTGCAAATCCCCAAACTCTCAGGAAAGAAAAGGCTCTATTAACTGATGCTAGGCCATATGCATTGCTTAAGGTTTACAAGATTCCTTCCAAGAGGAAGGACAGAGCTGATTAACCAGAGAGTAGTGCTCTGGTTTTTCCACAATCTGTTCCCAAGGCATCAACTCCCTATCTTCTTCCACCCACCCACCAGATAAGGAGTCAAGGTATAGTTCACAGGATTATTGTACTCATCACTGAAGATAAAACAAGATTGGTGAGCCCTGAATTTACAAAGGGCCTTGGTTCCCTATGATTTCCATTGTTTAATGAAGCCCGTTTTGTTGCTAAATTTGTAAAGATGTTCTAATAACATTTTAGCAAAATGATTGCTCTGGGGACAGTTTAAGATCTCTTTATATAATCCAAAGTCATCAGGAACAAATGAAAAAGCTCATTTGTTTGGAAAGCATGAGCTGAAAACCCCACAGAACCCATAGTTATGAAAAGTACAAATGAGTTTGTGAGATTCTTGATAACAGGATTGGACGGAGACAGGGCTCCTTTTTGTGCTCATGGAAATTGTCTATGAGAATGTGAATATCCCACGGTCATTTCTTTTTAACTGCTTCCTTAGAAGCAAATTTTTTAATGGAATTTTATTATGTGAGAAGGAAAGCTGTGCTTGTTTTTCTCTATGTGTAGTATGCATACATAGGAGAAGGCCTAGACTCTCTAACTGCCTTCCTAGGAGATGAAGGGAGTAAGGCTTAGCCAAAAGGAATTGTCTTTATCTTTTCTAGGGTATAACATTGCAGAAATTATTACCTACTTCGTATAACTTGTACTATATTTTTTATTCTATTCTCATTTTAAATAGGATCATGACGGAGTTCATCTGTATAGTACAAGTTTTGAAAGCATAAAAGTTCTAAAAGCATAAAAGTATCACCTTGAAATAATCTATTTTGTATTTTGGTGAGATGTTAAAGCTTTTTTACTTTGCCAAAAGCAAATGCATAAAAACAAAATGCTTTGGAAAGCTGTGCTTGTTAAAAATTTAAGGAGTTAAAAAAATTAAGTAGGTGGAAAAATAAAGGCTGTAACTTTTAGGACACTTTTTAAAAAATTATTGAATTAAATAATGATGGTGGAATGAGACTACTATTTTAAATCTTAGTAAATTGGTATTTTAATTCTTAAATGGAAAATTGTGAAGTAGGTTGACAAATTAAGGTAAAGAATTAGAAAAATTTCCAAAAATTTTGCTCTAAAAGTTTTCTCTGTTACATTGTTTTTTTATAAGGTAAGAAATCTGGGGTACCTGGATGGCTCAGTAGGTTAAGTGTAGATGCTTGATTTCGTCTCAGGTCATGATCTCATGGTTCCTGGGATTGAGGCCCGTGTGGGGCTCTATGCTGATAGTGTAAGGCCTGCTTGAGATTCTCGCCCTTCCTCTCCCCAGCTCCCACTCCTGTGATCTCTCTCTCTCTCAAATAAATAAATAAAGTTAAAGAAAAAAAAAGGTAAAAAGTCAGGACACATTTACAATAACAATAAGGGACTGGTTTAAGTTAAGATATAGTGACTAGAATAATGTAGATTAATATTTAATAACATGCTAAAATATGTTATTTAATATAATGAAATATATTAAGGATGAGTATAATACATATATAATACTGCAATGGTAATTTAA